AAAAAAAAAAAAAAAAAAACCATGAAAAATGATAAAAAAAAATAATAATAATAAAAAAAGAGATAGAAATACATACCAAAGAAAAATCTGATCGTGCTCTTATGGAAACTTTAGCTCTCCTGCAAGTAGCCTCTAATGCTTGATCTTCTGTGTGTTTTGGTTCATGCGATGTTGTTTGGCTTTTGATTTCACCTTCACCATTGTACTTATCACATGCAACGTTTCTTCCTAATATTTTCTTTTCAATGTTTTCAGCTGAGGCACGTGCTTCTGTGTTGCCGTCTAAAAGTGAAGACTCACCAATATTCAAAAACTGTCGAGTGTGTAGCATTGGTTTCTCCTCATCTTTTCTATTTCCCTTCAAAATTCATGTGAAGATATATGCAACGTTTTCCTCTTTAATTAGCTTGTTCATATAACAAAATATAGTGCAAACATCAAGCTTCAAAGGTTTATAGTTGTACACTATCAATAATTATTTGTAAAAGAAGGTTTTAAAAAAAGGAAAATTTCTACTTTTCTTAATTGAGGGATATCAGTACAATTAGAATTACCAACTTTATCCTAAATTTGTTATTTTTAATAATTTATATAAAATTTATATTTTTGAATTATTTTTATATCTTATTGGATATTTTATCTTTCCATTTTCTTTTTGAAATTATGTAGCTATTTTATTTCCATTACATATGCTCTAGTTTCCTTTATAATAATATCATTGTATACTTAAATAGCTGAGTTTTAATAATTTGTTAGCATATTTTTGTCTTTTCGTCTTATATTTTTGAATTTCTACGTTACAAATTAATTTTTCACTTCTATTATTTGTTAGTTCGTTTATTTCTTTTAATATTTTTATAGCATTATTACATCTTTATAATTTTAACCTTTATAATTTTGTTCCACTTTTTATTATATATATATATAGCCGCCGAATGGCAGAACCAGGAAGCCGAATGCCAATCGGCCACCAGGATCGGCCTATCATCATTTGGTACTCTTAATCAGAGATTAGAGGTTAATTAGTCGATTAAGGTGTATTACCTAATACGGTAAATATGTCGCAGGGCCCATAAATGTCAGTATAAATAGCTCAGGACAAAAGGTAACGTCACTGTTCATTAATTATCCTAGATATTCGTGCTTGTCCTGACTTGAGCGTTGGAGTGCCTTTTGCAAGTACCAACCCCTTCAACAGCGTATCGGATCGGAGCCTTCGTTCGGCCTTTGGACTACGAGAAGACTTAGTGTGTCCTTCAGACAAGTACAAATTCAAAATTTTGAACCGGTCGAATTTAATGTTCTTGGACGTGTCGAAGCCGTGGAGATGTTGAATTATAAATTTTTTTTTTTAATAATTTCAAATAATTTAAATAAAAGATAAATAAATAACTTTTGTTCACTTGTCCACCTATGGACAATATGCAATGGTTGTCCACCGTAACAAGTGCCGTAAAGTTAATGTTTAACAAAATAGCTAATTTAACTTTTTTTAGAATAGTTAAACTAAGGTCAGAAACTATGTTTTTTTTCGAACATGATTCATGTGGTGTCCAAATTTTCAAAGTTGATAATCAAGCAGGATTGGCCCAAAAATGAGGTCAATAAAGTCTTTACCTTAGGCCTCCTTAAAAAAAATATTTTATATTAATCTATAATAATATATAAAGGTAATAGACTTTTTTTAACTATATATCCTCAATTTTTCCAAGTAACCTACCTCTTATTTGATCAAAATTAACTATCATATTTTATCCTTTTTTTAATAGAGGCGTGAAGTAGCTTTTTTCTTGTGTTTATATATCTTTTTCAAGATTCCATGACTTAAAATTCACTTTTTATATTTTTGAAAATTTATTTTAAAAGGTCTATCTCTAAAAAAATATATAAATATAATTATTTTTAAGACCCTTCTCTAATTTTTTTTTCTCAAAAGATATTATTGTTCATTTTTAAAAAAATATTATTTTAAAATTTATTTTAAACCTAATAATATACTAGGCCAACCTTACAATTAAAGACCATCTACACTCACATAACATGTTTTTGTTGGGCAAACTACGATCTTATACTTAATATTCAAATCCTCACCATTAAATTAATATTAGTGGGTAATCTGATTAAATAAAATAAAATAACTTAATACATAGTAATTTATTTAAATAATACAAAATTAATTAATAAACTAAATATTAACATCATGAGAATAAAAAGTAATACCCGTGCAATACATACAAATTCTAGTTCTTCGTATGCAAACTTAGTGGAGCAACTCAATTATTTTAGATATAAAACCAATGGACGAGATTCATGCAGTTTTCCAAAAAGCTGGAGAGGATCAAAATCCACTCTTACATGATGTTGTTCCTGGAAATTTCTGACCTTTTGTGAACGTTGACTTTTTGGAACAACTTACGTAACAAATTTCACCACCACAGTTGGTTAATTAAATCCTATCAGATTATCAGGACCAATTATATATTCTACGTGCTCTTTTGCTCTTTTCTTCAAATATATGCTCGCTTATAAAACAGTGCCTTTTGACATAATGATGATGATAATATTAGAGAATTCAATCATGAATGTTACACCGATTAATGGTAAAGTCAAGAGACCAGTCAAGAGACCAATCACTATGTCTGAAGACTTATAGGTGGAAAGTACACAAAAACACAAACAAAAAAATTGTCCTACTCATAAAAACAAATAATGATTAAGCATAACATTATCCATGTAAAATTATAAATCCCAAATCTTCAAGACAAAGCATTTAGCCTCCTTTTGAAGATGCACCCGCGGTAAAGGCCACTTGGCGACATATCAAATTAATTTTGACTCTATAGAGTCCCAAATTTCTATACAACATCTTGATTTATTTAATTACTTCACTTGTTATATCTCCATTAATTAAAACTATAGGGTTGGATATAGTAGACACTGATGTATATCACAACTCTAACATGCATGCATGAACGTATACTCAAGCGTAGGGACTAGAAGTTAGACACATCAATATTAACTTGAGGCATGTTTGCAAGCTGTTGTATCGGTGCTATGATCATGGACTGTCTATTATGTACGTAGGTTTGAGGCAGAAGACGTTCTTCATTCATCATGCGCCAAGGTCTTTGCTGATTGAAGAATTTATCAAACAATATTCTCCCAAGACATGGGTGTAACTCAACCACCACAAGTAGGATGTAAATTATGAGCCTCATAGGCCACCACGAATCAGGAACAACAAGTGAAACCAAAGAGGCCACGGAAATTGATGCACTTACCCCCATGAAAATTCTTAATTGGGAAGTATAATTGGAAAACCAACTATTAATCCTAGCCCTAGAAGCCAGGTAATATAGCACCATGCTAAAAACACAAGTCATGGTGGTAGCTATTGAGTGTGGATGAAATGGGGAATTCGTGTCCCCATTGCATAGTATTTGGACAAAGCCTACTAAGGAGGGAATTATGATGGTGGCTTGGCATGGAGTGGATTCACTTGTATAGTTGCTAACATTGAAAACTATAACAGGAATATTTACACGAAAGGGAAGACGGTTATTACGACCAAAGAAAGATTGAAAGAAACGCATAATTGTCTCAATTGGTTGAGCCATATATATGGATGTTATGGTATATAAGTTGTTACTTACGACAATGATTTGGTATCTAAGTATCTTTGGAATAGATATAGAAGAGCATGCCTCTATTTATAATTGAGCCGGGTAGTATATACACAACTAGTAATTAAGTTGACTAGAATCAGAAGAAAGTGGATTAAAAGTTACATTGGCTTGGGCCATTATCGAAAACAACAAAAAGTTTAATCACTCGAAATTATTCGTTCTTTAGGGTTTTATGTATATTTCTTCCTTTTGATGAAAAGATTATGAGATAGAAATCAGATATTAATTATTCTTATTAATTGTACGTGTGATTAAGAGTTGTTGACAACTAAGACCCGGATCGACTACAATCGTGGTCCACTTATTGCGCATGCCACCAATGTTACTTCTTTATATTTTTATATTTTTAATTTCTTTTTTTGAAAAATAGGGAAACTTTATTACTTAAAGAAGAGTCATAGCAAAAAAATAAATATTACACATATAAAAAGGATAACTATAAATATAATATATATAAATATAAATCTATTTAATATGTAATTATACACGATTTAAATATTAATTTAATGAGATTCAACAATAAATATTATGTGTCATTATATATAAGATACTTATATTTTTTAATAATATACTAATATATGTTATTTATAGTGTAAATAAAAATAATTTTTAGTGATAAGTAATGTGTTATTACGTGTGAAATTTTATGTTTTTTTTAGTGATGGGTGTGCACTACTAACCTACGCGGAAAATGTATGTGTGTGTATAGTTTCTGTGTTGATGCAATTTGTCCGGCTTGACTTTAAGCAAAGTTTGTTAAAGTTGGATAAATAGTGAATAATAATAATAATTTGGCCACTAGTAGGAATTAACATTGTATATCATTCTTTTTTCCAATTCATTCATGAGTTTTCTTCATCACCACCCCACCCACTGTGTCGGGAGATTCTTCCAAAATTGTCATGGATGATTGGATGATTAATATTAAGACTTGGTCTTTGCATCAAAGCAACTAGAAGGGTGACGTGTCTAATTATGCAAATTAAGCTAGTCAACTCACTTTTACTTTAAAACTGATAGTTGTGGATTCCGAAATTTTAATCATTAAGGTAAAGGTGGTTTTTCTTTTATTCTTCGTAAATTACAAAAAATATCGAAGTAAATTGTATTTCTGGAACATTCTTATAACAAATATATATAACAGATCGTTTCAAGGTTTTGATGAAAATGCTTTAAAGGTTAATGTGACTTATGTATATGTTATAATATATAGTGGTGCCTGTGTATCTATAATATTAAATACTATAATCAAAGTTCATTTATTTTGTTAAAAATTTTATCCAACTTTATGGGTCAGCCGTGCCACATATTTGGAGACGGTATTCCGTACTTACAAAAAGAAAAACAAACAATTTGAAACCAGAATTTCCAATAAATTAAAGTTAAAACCTACTTTTCTCGATATAAAATTTAATAAGATGGGGAGAAAAAAAAATCGTTAACAACAGGATTTTTTTTTTCCTACTTGGGTTGGTCTCCTAATAATCTTATTTAAATTATTGAAGTATTTTATATAGTGTTTAGATATCGATGATGATTATAAATTAAACCCAACATAAAACTAAGGATAGTGAATATGCATGCATGTATTTCTGCTCCCTCCCCCTCCCTATTTTTTGTGTGAATTACGTCATGCATGACGTGATTTAATTGACAAAAGTGAGATTTTTTTTTTACTTTTTCTTTATCATGGTATTAACAAAAATATACCTGTCAAGTTTCATCAAAAATTTCTCTTTTCAAGACCTTAATTATATTAAAATTATCCCTTTTAAAGTCGTTGGTCAATAAATAATATTTTTAAGTAATGTGAAATCAATTTAAACTTAGAGTCAAAATCAATAAGTATATCTAAAAATAAAAAATATTAAAAAAATAAAATTAAACATCCAATGGGAGTCAAAATAACTTTTAGAAAAAAAATGCTAAAACATTTTTATTGAATATTAGTTTATAAAACATTCTAGTTTAAGACAAAGATTATTATTTATAATAATAATCTTTTTATTGAGTAAATATATATTACGTAAGTTTAATTTAAAAAAACACACCTATTCCGATCGATAGAGAGAAGACTTTATACCTAAAGTATTCAATGAGTAATTAGTTTAATTCCTCTACATATTTGTCTAGGATATCAATTATAGTAGTTTTTTCTT